CTAATTTTTCAGGCCGGCCTCAAATTCATCATAAGATAAAAACTCAGCTCCGGCACAATTTAACGCCATTTTTACGTCAAACAAGATGGGCACCGTACCTAAAAATAGTTTGCGTCTTTCTACGTTTAACTCTTTGACTACCATGGGCCGATCTATCGGCTCCATAACCTCCTAGTTCGTGGCCAAAAGCCGAATTATCGGCTCGCGCTTTTCTTTCCCTTTCCCTTCCACAATTTGACTCAACCTTTTCGTTTCATGTTTTTAACTGCTGTGCTTACCATACATCAGTCAACCAGTGAAGTAATTTAGCGCCTTTTGTGTTTTTTCTGCTGTTTTTTAGCATTTTTTCTTGTTTTTTTTACCCGCCCTATGTTGCTCGAATTAATTTACACGCATAGCAACAGAAAAATGGCTGATAACCCATCAGGTTTCCCCCCGTCACAACGTTTTTCTGCTTCAAAAGCCCTGGAAAAGTCTGATGGGGAACTGTCAGTAGGCCTACTTTCCGATAGTGATGTAGGAGTTGAAGTTAGACCTGAGTCGGACAGCAGCGACAGCGATGAGATTGAAGATTCGCAAAGAGGGGCGTGTGTGCGTTTTTTTCTCTTTTTTTCATTGTGAGTGATTTCACCAAAAGTGCGACAACTTTATATATACTTGACCATTGTGCATGAAACTTGGCCCAGTTAGAGACAATTGGATATACTTCAGTATGACTAAGTCATGAAGTGATTGGATTTAGTAGCTATACACTGTGAGAAATGTAAGTTGGAAATATTTTTTTTATTTTTTTATTTTTTTCACCTTGTGTTCACTTACCTCCCATGTTTGTTTGGATTTATGATTTTTTTTCAATTTTTTTATTAGATAAAAAAATATTCTACATTCAATTACCTTCATTTTGGTATATAACATGTCTGACTTCCCGATGAAATTATGCCCATCAGACACAAAAGAAGAAGAGGGGTACTTCTGAAATTCTAAGACTAAGAAATGCCGGCGCTTTTTCGGTAGTTCCCACCCCGCAATTTAATTCACGGGGTTGGGCCACAAGAGTAGGGGGGTTTCAGGGGGGCTTGCCCCCCTGACCTAATAAAAATAGGAAGGGGGGTTTCAGGGGGGCATGCCCCCCTGAATTTTACCATAATTTAATGTTTTGCAGTTGTTAGGTTTGATATCTTAGCTCACCGCGAATCAAACGTATAGATCTAGATCTAGATGTAGGTCAGGCTCAAATAAGGGGGGTGGGAACTACCGAAAAAGCACCATGCCACATTTAGTCGGAACTGATAGTAAAAAGATACCAATCCATTATATAGAATCTATAATCATTATTTATTATTATTAGATCTAATCTAGATCTAGATCTAGAATCTATTACTGTTTTCATGTTCTACGCACCGGTGAAATCCTGAACCTACAAGTTGTCTTGAAAGTGTTACACCATCTCGATTGAGGTACACCTCTGATGACGACCCTAGAGCACTTAACAACATAAAAGTCCAAATTGCAACATATCTACCAATCTCAAACATCTCCAAACATTGTAGATTTACGAAATGAGTTAGTGTTGTGCTGGCGCTGCTAGATCTAATCAGTAGTCAGTACATCAAGTCATATTATTATTTTGTTGTTTGTCTTCGTACGTTGAACTCTTTGACTCTTGATATCTTTGGCCTAGCTAACGTACTTTCGTTTTCTAACTTCTGACCAATCAGCAGTGACATTGAGAGAAAATTAACCAATGGTCCCAAAATGTTCTTCTCATTTTCAACTTCCGGGTTCGAAGGTCACTATTGATGACAACCAGGGTGAAACTTTTTGTTACCACCTTAAAAAGTAAAAGCGGAAGAGAACCAATAGAAGAGAAAACAAACAACTAACAACTGACAACATGAACAGAATTGCTTGATCCTCCAATTTTCGATCATTGTCTTGTGTTGCCTTCACAGGGTTTTATGTGAATCAGCCAGTATGGGGAACTTGTTTGGCAAAAAACAGAAATCATCGCCATCGCGAGTAACTGAACAAGATAAGGCTATTTTGGTAGGTTGGTGGTGTGCACCACAAGTGTAGCCTACTCATGATTTAGTCTAATTTAGATCTAGATCTAGAATCTATCTATATATCTAGATCTAGATATAGATATATATATAGATCTAGAATCTAGATCTAGATCTAGAATCTAGATCTAGAAATAGATCTAGATCTATATATAAATATGATATAGAATAGGCCTATACCGTAGTCTTATAATACGGGATGCCCATTAGCCTCCTAATGATTAGGCTAGATTCTAGATCCAGTAATCTGGCATTACGGCGGTTCGGGCTGATCGCCTAACTCGGTCGCCTGAAATCTGAAAACAAACACATTATTGTGTCTTTAATCGGGCGCAATCGCCCGACTCAATCACCTGAAAACAAATGTTTTTGTTTTTTTAGGCGACCGAATCAGGTGATCGGCCCGATCCGCTGATCCCATCCGTAATGGGCGCCCTGTATTGCCACATTATGCTTATACTATTTACTAAACTCAAACTGGCCAGGGTCGATCAAGGGCTATAGGTGTCATCATAAATGGTCAATAGGGAAAATTTCACAGGTTTCACCTTCCAGCTCATTGATGCTGCTCATAGATGCCTCTAACCTTGTTTTACATAAGTGTTCCACCTAGATCTGGAATCTATTCTATATCTGTCCCCGCAGATGCAAATTTAGATGGCCAACTTATGCAAGACTCTTGAGTCTATGCGAAATTTTGCAAAAATGATACAAGTTACCGTAATGCCATTCATGGCATGTTTTGCGCTTTTTCAACAAGAATGTTCAAGTTTTATCATGTATACAGAAGAAATGAAAAGAGAACATATCAGTATCAGTAATTTTTTTTGTATTTGGAAAGAAAACAATACACATCAGTCAGAAAAAAAATTAAAAAATATGATCTCTGTAACTTGCAGCTGTATAGAGGAAAGAAAAATGTGGGAAAAAAAAGAAAAAGGAAAAAAAAAGATATCTGGACCTCTGATGCTGACAAATCACTAAAAAAAAACATGAAACATCAGCAGACGTGAGAACACCTTTGATGGATTGAAAAATTGAACATACTCAAGGAACAAAATCCCTAACCCCTAGTCCCCCCCCCCCCCCCCCCCCCCGATCTTTTAATTCTAACGAGGAAAATAACCAACTTCTCACTTTAATGAGACTTATTGCTGTGATTACTTCCCTTTGGCTTTAGTTACATGGGGAGGCATTAAATTGTTTTGTGAAAATTGCACCCAAAAAAATGGAAAAAACGCAGGCACCCTAAATTTTATGCAAATTTTGCAGAATTATGCGATAAAACACAGCCACGCCGCGGCCACACGATCGCATAATCCAACGCGGCCAGCTATATTATACACATCTGAGATCACATCTGGTGCAGGCACACCCTTTTATGCACATGGATAGAAGTATACACCTTATTCCACCCCCTCACCTCCTTTGCCCTCTTCATCAGGCTCCTGACTCTTTCTGCAGCCTTTCTACTGCTACTCCTTGGCTCCTTCTTACTGCTATCTTTCAGCTACACCCCTGATCTTCTGGTATGAAGATAACTCCTAACCTTCTCGGACAAGGGCGAAAAATCTTGGAGGTCCCATGTGCAAGTTGCGCACGTTAAAGATCCCTTAGTGGTCCAAAATCGATAAGAGTAGGCTTCGGCCACCACCCGTTCTAAATTCAAAATTTTGTACCAATTGAAAATGTTTTCTTGTGTCCCGCACGCTCATATGATCTTATGCAGTTGCGAGTGCCGTAAAACACTTACCAAAAAAACCCCACATTATTCTTGCGCACCTCTTCTCCCACTTCCCTTATATGGCTTCATGAAAAAAAAAGCTCTCTTCACTCCATATAAGTGTACACCATGTTTCAGTGATCATGTGCGCATCGTCCTTTTACATTTTGAGCAAACTCCCCTCACTTCAATGTCGCCAAATATAGTTGTGCTGACAACTGATGTTTTGGTTGATATACATGTAATTGTGCTTGAATATTTGTGCAGTATAAAAGTATTGAAAGGGAATTATCTGCCTATTTGAACCTCTCTGCCTTTTGCAGCAACTGAAACAACAGCGGGACAAGTTAAAACAGTACCAGAAGAAAGTACAAGTACAGCTGGACAAAGATCGAGAAGTTGCAAGGGCACTCCTAAAAGAAGGGAAAAAAGAGTATGATTTTTTTCTCCCATATAATTTGATGTTTTGTCCTATATTCTTTTTATTCAACTACTTTGAATAGTGTTTTTCTTTTCTGTTTTCTAGGGGGAAAAGGAGGGGAGGGGGATTTTTCAGAGAAACAAAATCTTACAATTTGTTAAAGTTCTGTTGGTAGGACAGTGAAGTATATTTTTATGAGCACCACATGGTTGAGTTAACTCTCTATCTCCGGAGGGGTCTGGAGGGGGGTTTGCCTATTTTTCCGGATCCTTCTTTTGGTATGAAACCTGAGAGTGTCGTGCACATCACTAAATCGGTCATTAAATCAAAACAAATTAACCTATTTTGATAGTTTTTCATCTAATGAAATAACCTCTTATAAGAGAGGCATATTTTCGGTAATTGCTGAAAATTAATATATAATGTCATCGTAAAGGAATTTGACCAAGCCGCTTACATCAGGTCTCCAGCACAGCAGTACTGACCACAAGTCACTGGGAGTGGCTTGCCAGAGAGAGAGAGATATATATATATTTAAAAGAATAGGTATTTTTAAGGCTCTCTGCCTCTTGTCAACCCAAATGAAAATATCGTCCTATAAGAGCCAATTCCATGAATCAAGGTTTTAGCGAATTTTTCAGGAGGAACAAAAAAACTTACTATTGTAGGTATGTATGAATGATCAGCACACCAGAAACGATCAAGCCCTAAAAGCGTATCATATGATACGGAAGTTAGGAATTCTTCGCTTTACTGTCGGTTCCGTAGTAATTCTTGTTGCCTCATCCAAGTTGTAGCAATATTGAAATCCATTCTGCACGTTTCAAGATGAGCTATTTTGGAAGCAAACAGCTATGATAATTGAAACAGTTATTTGCTTTTTATAGCTATTTTAAGGCCGGGAACTCAATGAAACTTATACGAAAATGAAGCCCATGGTACGCGCTTTCAATAAGTGAAAAAACAAATTTTCGCGCCAAAATCATGATACGCGGATCTGGCTTTTATAGGACGGTATGTCTTTTAAATACTTTCGTTTTACTTTATTTTATGCACCATATCATAATTGCTAGCTGTATAGTTGTAACTTTGCTCTTCTTTCTCCACAGTAAAGCCAAGTTGATGCTGAGAAAGAAAAAGTTCCAGGAGAGTTTACTCACAAAGACAGATGGCCAGCTTGACAATATAGAACAACTGGTAGGGTCTTTTTTTGTCCTGTGGATTTGAATGTATATTTTTATCTTGGTGGATTGCAGCTACTTAAAGATTTTTAATTTTTTGTGAGTTCAGGTTTTCATGGGTATTACTTATGTCACACTGCTGAGTGAGAGACATCATTGATAGTAATTATTGTGCCTGATTGACATTTAGAAATGAACATGACTTTTGAGGATACATTATCTTTGCTTCCATTTTTATATGAGATTTTCATATTTCTACCTGTAGTCTGTGCCATTTTAGTTTTACTAATTGATTTGTTTTACATATCATTCATTTGGCTATTGATATTTACGTTATCTTTCGGAGTTCTTCAACATTAATGTACAGTAGAACATGGCTATAGCGGGACTTTTGGTTCCAGAAGAAAAATCCCGCTGTAAGCGAGTTCCCGCTATAGGGATGCAAAGGGGAATTACCGAAAAATGTCTAAAAATCCACCTGATTACCTCCCTTCCATATCAATAAAATTTGCGCGTTAGATTAGTCTTCCTTTTTTTGTCAGTTTCATTGATTATCTCGGCCTTTAATTCGAGTGAGAAGCATTTCCTTTTCTCTTTTTTGGAAGCCATCTTTTCCTCGGTCTTGTTGCTTGCGCTGTCTATCGTACCGGTAGGCCTACTGTAGAACTGGTGAAGTAATGCACGTGTATGCCTATGAGCATCAGCGATCGCAATTCAATGAATCAGGAGTCACACACTACACGCTCTCCTCTTCGTTTACTTTTTGTCCTAGGGTAGGCCTAGGACTATTATTGAGCGTCTTGGCTAGCGTATGGCACATCACATTTGGAGCGGCTCACGCCACACGTCTCTTCGCACCATCTCTCTCTACCGCCTGCCCCACCTCACTCATCACTGGACTGGCCAATCACAATGCTGCAATGCTGATTGACTGTTTGGATCCCGCCTATAAACCCCACCTCCCAATCCCCTTCCCTACAGCTAGAGCTCGCTCGATCCCTCCCGCTGTATCCAAGTTTGGGCCTTTCCTTGCCCCGCTAAACCCAAGCACAGGTAATTGAGTTTGGGGATCAAGGGCTGGTGAAGGGCCTCATTTAAAAGATGAGAAACACCCAAGCGTCTCATATAGCTTCTCCCAGTCTAGCCAACCGCACCTACTCGTGGTGATCCCTGTCTGCACTGACGTGGCTCTGGCAAATGGCGAACCGTTGGCGCCAACAAACCAACCCCCCTTTGCCAGGAGGGGTAAAATCAACAGGCTGGGAGTAAGTGTGACCCCACAAGGTGCGGAGGGCAGAACCCACCGGCGTGTGGTAGACGCTATGCCCCCCACCAACACACTTTCACTCTCCCTTGAGTGAGTGTCCTCCTCTGCTACCTCACCTACTTCTTCTACGCACTCCCTGTGGTTGGCCTGTGCTCTACCTTTGGCCTTGTGAATCTCCATGGATTCTCCTGGTCCCTGCAAGGATGAACACACCACTGGGTGGGATAGGCCTCTGGGACATGGCATGCCTAAACATGGACGTCTACGTACCGACACAAAGGATCCAGGACGTGACAAGCTGCTCGTCTGTGTGATTTTGGCTCAACAATGCTGCCAGGGTCAGACCAGATTAAGTTGACCCCCCACAGCCCGCCAGGAGACAGCGGTGGCGGGGAATGGACCACAGTGGATCGTGCCTTGACCACATGTAAAACGGAAGCCAGTCCCTGCTCAGCGCGTTGCCCCACTTCTCTGAGAGACAAAACTTGTAGCTCAGAAATCTCAATGTCAGATGCACCGGACTGCTGGTAGACCACAGACCTGGGTGGGAAGAAAAGCCACAGGCTCCCCAGCAAATATGGCAAAGAAAAATAAATTAAATTCATCCGAGCTCGGGCGACGCCTCGTTTATCAAGGCCCGCGCCATGCAGTGCCTCTCCAGGCTGCTGGTGAAAAGTTAGCTACTGGGAAAACAGAACAGTTTCGACTACTCCAGGTCAACGTTTGCGGCCTCGCAAACAAGAAAATAGAAATTTCTCACCTTTTGGACTCAAGAAAAATCCACATTGCCCTATTACAAGAAACTATTCACCGTAACACAGACCCCTATATCCCAGGTTACACCCATTATACCTGCACATGCCCTGACTGCCAGGGTGTAATCACCTACATCAGAAATGACATACAAGGAAAAGTTGAAAACATCACAACTGACACAAGAACAGACACCCAAAAAGCTACAATTTGGTATGCAGGTTGCAAATTTACAATCTTTAACACTGCTCTTTTTCATTTCTCCAAGAATCAATATACACCAAAACAATAGTTGCGGGTGACTTTAAGGGCCACTCTCCTCAGTGGGGATACAGAACATACAACAAAAGCGGAATGGCCATAGAGGAACTCTGTGGCACAACAAACTTCCTTGTTCTCCAAGACAAGAAATCTACCCCTACCCTTCTACACAGGGCTCACAACACACTCAGCAGGCCTGACTTGACCATCCTTTCATCCGACCTCTTCCAAAGACACACCACAGAAGTCCTTGACGGCATAGGTAGCGACCACAGACCCATCATGACTTTGGTGTTGACCCCAAGCCAAAGTCACTTTGTACAAAAGACCAAGTGGAATTTTAAAAAGGCGAACTGGGAGCTCTACAAGACAACAACAGAAAAGCTCCTGAAAGATATTACACCAAACCCCTCTGTTGATGTCTTCTGTGGCGCAATAACAGATTCCCTGCTCAAGGCTGCGGCTCTCTGCATCCCTAGGGGTTGCAGGAAAAAGTACAAGCCTTTCTGGAACAAGAACATCGAACAAGCAGTCCAAGACAGAGAAAATGCTCGAAAAACTCTTGAAAGCGATCCTACAACAGGAAACAAAATTAACTACAAAAAAGCCTCAGCTAAGGTCAAACAGACAACCCTCTTGGCCAAAAGAAACAAATGGAGCACCACAGTTGCAGACCTTGATCTACGTAGAAACGGAGCCAAAGCATGGTCACTTCTCTCCAACTTGTGTGGAGAAAAGCGCCGAAACAACCCAAAACCCATGGACACAGAGGAAGGCACCATCGTAGAAGACCAAAAAAAAGCAGAAACCTTCAACAAGTTCTTTGCTTCTATAAACAAAGCTACACACCACACTGACCAACAAAGAGACTGTCTGAAAAGACTGAAAGAGAAAGAGCATGCGCCAAATGCAAGCATCTCTCTCTTTGAAGATGACTTCACACTCACTGAGCTCAACAGAGCAATGAAGAAACTGAAGCCCCGCAAATCCCCAGGACCAGATAAGATTCACAATGAAATGCTTGTCAACCTCAGTCCCATTGGTAAGGGTTATATTCTCCAGCTGATCATCAAGACGTGGAATGAAAACACCATCCCCAGAGCATGGAGAAACGCCATCATCACACCCATTTTCTCAAGAAAGGAAAACCTGCTGAAGAAATGAAAAGCTATCGACCCATTTCACTCACCTCATGCATCGGGAAACTAGCAGAGAGAATGGTCAACCACCGCCTATACTGGTGGTTGGAAACAACCGGTGCCCTGGACAGCAACCAAGCAGAATTTCGTGCAGGCCAACGAACAGATGACCAGCTCTTCAGGCTCAGTCAGAAAGTCCTTGATGGCTTCCAGGAAAAGAAGCACACAGTTGCAGTATTCGTCGATCTCCAGCAAGCCTACGACAGGGTTTGGAGAAAAGGCCTCCTGTGGAAGATGACACAGACAGGAATCCACGGGAAACTCTACAGATGGGTGAAGACCTTCCTTACAGACAGGACAATCCAGACCAGGATTAACAATGGTGTGTCATCCAAAGCTGTACTGGAGGAGGGCCTACCCCAGGGTTCCTCTCTGAGCTGCACACTTTTCCTTGTTTTCATCAACGACCTGCCTGAGACACTGAAATCAGAGAAGGCCCTATATGCCGACGACCTAGCCATCTGGCATACAAGTAAACAAGCTGGCATCAGTGCACGGCTTATAAATGAGGATCTAGATAGATTCAACAACTACTGCTGCAAGTGGAAACTAAAAGCAAATTGTACCAAGACAATCTACACCGTCTTTACAAAAAGCCACAAAGTTGCAAAGCAAAATCTCACCATCTTACTTGCAGGAAACAAACTAGAAAAAGTTGAAAACCCGACCTACCTTGGGATCGAGCTGGACAGACAGTTTTCATGCAAAAACCATATCTGGAACCTGAAGACGAAGGCCAACAAGAGACTTAACCTTCTCAGACGACTGGCTAGCACTTCATGGGGAGCGGACAAGGATGCACTCAGACAGCTATATGTTGGCTATGTACGATCTGCCATGGAATATAACCTAACCTTACAGACAATCTGCAGCAAACCAACTCAGAGGTCTCTTGACAAAATTCAAAATCAAGCTGTACGATTTATCTCCGGAGCTTTGAGATCCACTGCAACTGCAGCTTGTGAAATCCATACAAACCTGGAACCCTTGGACTTGCGGAGAGAGGCAGCAGTAGTAGAGATGAGTGAGCGCTACAAAAGACTGGAGAAAAACCACCCAAACAGGAAAATAATTGAACAGAGACGACCAAAGAAACGGATTCATGGAAGATCAATACTTGACACAGCCACTGAACTAGCAGAAAACACCATCTTCCATGTAACAGAGAAATGCTGAAACCTTTAAGACCAGAACTCCCCCCAAACACTAACATCAAGAACGCCAACATCAAAACCTCCCTCATAAAAGAGACGGTGAAAAAGGAATGTGACCCAGTAGAACTGAAGACAACAGCTCTGAAGACAATTGACTCCTACCCTAGTGATTCAATTCATATTTATACAGACGGGTCAGCCTTCAAGGGAACTATAAACGCAGGCTTTGGGGTAAGAATTGAACATCCTGACAAAACATGTGAAGAGCTATTTGACGCATGTGGTACTTCTTGTACAAATTACAAGGCTGAGGCAATCGCCATTGAAGCAGCAATCCTCCACCTGACCAACATTTTCATAATATATCCAAACAAAATCAAGAACACTATTATCTTCACAGACGGAAAGTCAGTACTCCAAGCTCTGGAAAACATGAATTTCAAAAGCCCAGCCTGCCTATCTGTGGCTCAAACAATCAACACCTTCCTACAGACCTATGCCGTCGACCTGACACTACAGTGGGTACCTGGCCACAGCAACATCCCAGGAAACGACAGAGCAGACACCCTTGCCAAGAAGGGAGCATCACAAACACAACCACACAACCCAGTATCACAACAGACAGCCAAGAACATCATCAAATGCAACACCAGGGAACAGTGGCTGAATGGATGGGCAATGTGCAAAACTGGAAGAATTGTATTTGCACACATGACAGCCCCCAACTCTAAAGATGCAATAAATTCCCTGAGTAGAAGAGAACAAGTCACAATATTTCGCCTGTGAACACAACACATACCACTAAATTCCTACTTTAATAGGATCCGCAAGGATACCCCACCTGACTGCCCGTTGTGCGACTGCCAGGATGAAACAGTACCACACCACCTCTTTAGCTGCCCAGCACTTTGTGACCTGCGTAGCACCTACCTACCTGCCTTCCCAGACATCGGAAACACTCTATACAGCAACAAAGCACAGCTGATTAAAACCTGTCAATTCTTTGCCATATCGACAGACCGAAGGGCTAGAACCCAAATGGCCGCTGGATCGGAAAAGTAAAGTAAATGTAAGTAATTGAGTTTACATAGAGAAAAAAGGGGGATTCCGTTAAGGTCCCGCTGTAGCAGGTGCCGCTATAGTCATGTTCTACTGTACTTTTTCTTTTGAAAAAATTGTTTAGGTTGATGTGATTAATATTTTTGTACTTTTTAAAAATCATTTTTCAGGTACATGATCTTGAGTTTGCTCAAGTAGAACAAGAAGTCGTTAAAGGTCTTCAAGTGGGCAATTCATCATTGAAAAAGATGCACGAGGTTTGTTATGAAAACATTGTAGGCCTACTGAAGGCATTGCGTTGCTTTTCATTTTGCACAAGTTATGAATCAGTGCTTCCAATCTTCCGTACTGGCCCCCATCATTATGAACTCTGTCCGTAAAAAGTGTGATAGTGTAGGTATATTGATATTCCGTAACAAAGGATTTGTACTTGCCTCCATATCGTCATGAACCAGATAAATTTAGGATATTTACTGTTGTTCTCGGCAAAAAGTTATACAGTCTACTCAGCTTGTGTTGAACTCACTTGAGTTAACTTCAGTCAAGTTGATCTTCAAATCGGCATCTCTTCTTCTTTACAGGTTTCAATGGTAAAGTTGAACTTCGGATGAGTTGATCTGTTTACTCCCCTAATAACATCAACTCATCCGTAGTTGACTGTATTAGAAATCTGCCAGATTGCGCATTTCCTCCCCTCAGCTGCTGGGCATTCGTTACACATCCAGATTGTGCATTTCCTCCCCTCAGCTGCTGGGCATTCGTTACACGTCAGACAACAATACATTTTCACTTGCAAATCTGTCAAAATATGGCTAATCACAAGAGCAAAATTTTTGTGCCAATTTCCCACCTTCTTTCATTCACTCATTCTTTATGTCTATCTACGGGTCTTTGCCACAGAGGGAAAATATGTGCATTGATCAAAGAAATGGAATTAGGCTTTTAGAATGGAAATCCCTTTCTAGATCTATGGAATTTGCCAGTGCAAGAATTCTATGGCATCATGATGAAGGCTGTAGTGAATTTAATTGATGCTATAACTAAATCTTAATTCAAGAATTACTGAAAGTGACGCTCCGGAGGTTGTGACATTCGTCATTAGAACATGAAAATGGAGGATAGTTTTAAGGTACAGGCTGGATTACAGTATTGTCAAGATTGATGTTCCCGGACTTGCCTTCTGTCGATGGTGACAAAGGAACTTTCATTTACACATTGCCAGTGGGTGGTTGGCGGGTGCTCTGGTGTGGTTTGCTTCTTCTTTCCTATCAAACATCTATCGTCCTTATCTCCCCTTCTTCTGTTTTATGTTTGTTACTCTCTTGTAACACTTCTAATCTTCTGGCGCTCATATGACCTTGTGCTGTTGCAAGCGCCGTAAAACCCTCTACTAAAACTTAAACACATTGCCAGCAAGGGAAAGATATGCAGATGAAGAAATCAAACACAAGACTAAATCTTGGTGAAAAAACAGGTATCATGTGTTGTTAAAATCTACTCAAACTTGCTCCCAAATGCCATTTTCAACCCTCTAAAAGTACTAAAGTTGATTTTCTTTAGGGGCTTAGTCCCCTGAACCCCCTTTAGGAAATGTCCGAGGACTCCTGCTGAGGGCTTATGCAGTCCCCATGCTCCTAGCACTATTTTCCTGCTTTGTTGGTTGGAAGCACTGATGAATGGATGTATATTAATTATTGTGTAATTTCATATTAAAGTTTATTGTTTTTAAAAGCCTCAAAGCTATACTATAATAAGCCTCCTGTTTTGTGTACGTTCTATTTCTCAAGGGCATAAGTGGATTTTGCAGAGCAATGGAGAATTCACATTTTCTTGCTGATAATCAGATCAAAAACTCGCGTACTTCTGAAGCGGCATCCATCAGATTTTGCAGTTCTTTTTCCATGTAGATCCTGTCTATTGCTTCTTTTGAAACAAAGGATTTCCTCAGTGAAACCATTCTGGTCTCCCTCTTTGCCTTCTGTTTCTGGGCATTCTGAATGAAGTTTTTCTTGGAAAGCATGAGTGGATAAAAATCACTCCCATGTTATTTTGGAAAGCATGCCTCAGCAGAAGGGAGAAACTAATCCAAAAGAAGGAGGGAGCAAGGGTACGTCCCTGCTTGCCTCAACTCTTGACCGCTTTGTTTATCAACAATGGCACTTCTTTTAATACCATTATAATGGAATTATTCAAAGGAGGGTCCGTGAACATTCCATCCATTCACAGATTTAAAGAGTGTTTTTTACAACTGACTAGATTAAATGCTTTTGTAAGAGCTATGAAGGCAATACACAAGGGTTTATTCTGTTCTCTGCATTTCATGGGTGATTGGATGGAGCAACTGGTGGTATGTCCTTCTTCATTTCTTTCCCCCCATAGTTTTCATTAGTCTGTCTTACGTTTTCCCTGTATAAGCGTTATTGTGTACATGTGTTTGCCTTTACTCAAGCAAACAATCTCTGCACTTCTGTATTTGTTATATGAGAACACCATATCTCTTATTTACTCAAAATATACCCTATGATTGAGGATGCACTAGTACTGTTTATCTGACATTGTGCAGAGGAATTAGATTTTCCTGTAGTTTTTTTTAATCAGTGCAATCACCCGTGCTCTTGGAAAGCATTATAATGATGTTGATATCAAAACTTTACTACATTCTTGGGAGTAGATAATATGAAATAATGGAAACTTTTGAGTTTTCAATGTCAATGAGATTGTTTTTGTCTCCTCATGTGATTACTTTCTTCATTAGCTTCTCTCCCTGGAAGACGTTGAGAGGATCATGGATGAGACACAAGAAGGAATTGAGAAGCAGCGGGTAAGTTGATCTGTATGTAACTAAAAGTTTAAAAGGAAACTGTTTTGGTTTCATTCAGGCGAAAGTGTAAAATCAAGTAATAGGTAGCGGCCTTCCGAGCATGTGGTTTCGGTGAAATGTGGGTAATTCAGATCGCTGTTTCTTTGCTCTTTCGGCTATAAAACACCAAATGCTGTACACCTTGTAAAAGTTCAGCTTTTTCTCTTACAATGGTGTAAGTTATTTATATATCCGATTATTAGGAGCTGGAGAATCGCCGTGGAAAGCGAAGCCCCTCGCAGTCGGAATGCGTGGTTGGCCGATTCAAAAAATTGACACACATGCATTCAAATGCTTCAGAATTGTTGAGATATGAACGGGCTTTCGCGTGGTATTTTTTTGGCCTTTGACGTTTAAATAGAAAGCCTTTAAAAATACCACCAAAGTTTTCAAAGATCATTTTTTACACTAAATTTGTAAAGTATTGGCTCAAAAAAGGTGCCAATAGAAAGATTAGTTCATTTTCCATGAAAATAAAGTAATCAGCTTGGAATTATATGGCATCAATCCTTCTGCAAAACTCGGAAAACATGTTACCCCCACACGGGGTGCACTCAGTACACTACAATATAGAGCCGTCTCTCTCGTCGGGGCAGCACTCTCTGTTTTTGTCGGAATAACGACAGATCATCGTATTTGAGGCAGTAAAATACTGATTTGTTATAATTTCAGTCTTGAAAAAAATTATACCCCATATTTATGTTACAGTGATTGTACTCTCTTAATGTGGAGATGTTTGGTCCACTTGGTACTTTTTATTGTCAAACATGGGGTTGCAGCCAGTTTCAACTGCACACAGATTAGTGAAGGGAGGTCACTTTTGTTTCTTTGAGCTTAAATGGGTCTCATAATTAATGGAAAATGGAGCCCATAGACCAGAGGACTTTTATTTTCAGCTTGAAGCGTTTTTGGGGCAAGGTCTATTGGAAATGCTACAAGGAGACTTAAACTATGTTTTGTGTTCTTTCTCGTTTCAGGAAATCGATGATCTGCTATCAGGTGGCTTGTCTGATGAGGATGAAACTGATGTTCTGGCTGAACTTGATGAAATTATAAAGGTAAGAATGACTGACTCAGTATTGTGACGATGGAATTTGATAATCAATGTTTTGGACAAAAATGACAACAAATATATTATTATGTCTACCACAGGTGGTAACAGCCTTTCTGTTTCTCGCTTTATTATATTATATAATTCTGGTGGTCCAATCTTTGTTACTTTTTAGAAGAAATCAGGCTCTCTTCAGTTCTCAAAATTGAGACGAAAGTAGCTTTCAATATTCTCAAGAACATGAAAAAGCCAGATTTTCATAATTTTGAACTTACAGATTTATATAATTGTTGGTTTAGATTGCTATGTATTGTTATAAAATAGTCAAGAATTGTGCCATTGCTTTCCAATTTCACTTTAAAAAAGGGTGAGCAACCGCTCTTCAGTATAGATTCAAAACTGGTTTGTGAGCTCAGGCTCACAATGTCAAGTGTGTGTCAATGATACAGCATTTAGGTGTTTGGTCACTTGAGTGTGTCCTTGAGCAACACACGATTGCCCTAGCTCAAAAACAAAAGCGCTGCACAGTGGCAACCAGCAATGGTGTATGGATTCTATGTTTGTGATATTGCGTAATATTCATGCATTTTTGTATTTGAGTCTTTATGTATGGCGTTAAAAAGCAAATTTCCCAAGTGACAGCAAGACTGTCGTCAATTAGTCGTTACTTGTGACAGTAGAATGCAATATGTTATCTAAACTGTAAGCATGAGGTTGTCATGCTGAAAGTATGAGGTTGTCATGCTGAAAGTATGAGGTTGTCATGCTGAAAGCATGGGGGCAGCTAGGCAATACTGTTAGTACTACTGGCTGTGGATCATTTCCACAGACCTGCCACTCATCCCGATTTGGTCGGAATATCTCGATTTCTTGCCACAAATCTCAAGCATTCTGATTTTCACGATTTTGATTTGCGCATATATCCTGATTTTTTTTCTGTCTCTTGCGACGGACTAATAAACCCAAAACCAGAGAAAAAAAAAGAAAAAAGACCCAATAAAATTCTGCACCTTCTCTTTAACCAGAAGCACCCATTAGACTCAGAAGAAACTCAGAACCCTATTTTGTAGAATAATGATACTGGATCTATAGTAGTGGACCCCGGCATGTGATTTCTAATAATCGGACAAAGTCCATTTAGTATTAAGTACATGTAAAGTATCTTTGAATCAGAGTAGTATCGATGGGGCATTCCGACTTGGCAACTCTTAAGATCTACTTTCGCTTTTGTTATCAACCGAAATTTTCAGATGGCATCCTGATAACTCAAACAAATATGACATGCAAATGATCAATTATCAGCTATTCTTTTAAAAACGCCCTTCTTCTGAATTCTGGGTAGGCCCGTCATCAAGGCCAAGCCCTCCCTATTCATGAATGTAAACTGTTTCAAACGCGTGTTCGCATTACTTTACGCGACATGACCTCCTGTGAGTACCGCGCACGTGTGTCGGAGACCATCATTTGTCGAGACCAACAAAATTCTTTCACACTAATCAGGCTGTTTTTCGGGACTTGTCAGAAGGGGGAAGACCTTCTTTCTTTTTTTATACACTTAGGAGTGCTTGGCTGATAGGAGCTGAGGTCTGTGCAGGATGGCAGGATGCGGGGCGTCTTGTGTGAATAATATGTGATCAAAGTACCTTGCTACTGTTTGCAAACATGCACTTATCATTGCATTGATGATTAAGGCTATTGTTTTCAAGACTCTGGGACTACGAGAGGCTCAGCAACACTAGTGTAACTTGCACTGCCCCGGTCTACCCAACTCCGACTGTGAGGAAGAACATTCTCTTTTTCCGTTTGTTCTTTCCTTTACTTAGAGCTCTTATACATATCTTCTTCCTGTAACAAATTTTGTCTTTCTCGCTTTTTTGTATGTGTATGCTGAAACCCAAACATGGTTTTGACAGTTGATTTTCTAGGCCCTCTACTTGTTCAACCCAAGATTTTTCAATGTTCTCTTTATTTCTAATACCAGCATATTTGTATATTATATATGAAGGAAAAATAGAAATAAATAAGTGCTGACTGAAATACCTTATTTTAGTGCTCCACCCCCCATGTCTCTTATTGAGGATGGATGCACTGGTGTTATTTTACACTATCAGTATAGGTCTGTGTGTGCACAAAATAATTTATGTCACATAATGATGTGTTGGAGCATACTATCGCCAATATGTACCCCTGGAGAGTGAATGCTCCCCCTTGGAAAATTTTGCATCAACTTGGCAGTTGCCCTGGAGTGATTTGTTATTAATCCTGATTTATTTCACCAAATCCTGATTTTTTTTCCACCCTGAAATCCTGATTTTTAGATTTTATGAAGTGGCAAGTCTGTTTCCACAGCGAATACTTAGTGGTCACTATTACTCTTAAGTGCATTTGCCACCACAGTATGATTGGTAGGCCTATTACCTTGCAATTTACATTACTAATTTCTCTTTCTTTGTCTGTGGCACTCAGTCATATCAATGCTGTAAGCCAACTACCAGTGGTGAGCTCTTGGTTTGTATCTTCCACTTATTGTTCCCTGTTCTAACTCTGGTCATTGTTTGAATTGGTGTGTAGGGCAGTTTTCTCAAATGAAATTTGTTTGAATCTCTCCTCCCCCTTACTTTGTGTAGTTTTATTGCTCCGTAAGTTCTGAATGTAAACTTTTGAAATAAATTCTTTTGTAAATTTTTTCCTTTATAACTTTATACATACAAATTCTGTTTTGTTTGTTTGTCAACAGCAGTCGGAGGCTTCAGAGGTCTTGAATTTACCAGATGTACCAGAAGACAACATTGGCGGTAAGATGTCCTTTGTTTCTCTTTTAAATGTATAATTCCTTTACAAGAGGTGGTTGAGAAAATAAAATACAGGATTGCAGTCATGACAAGGGTTGTAATACGGCCTCTGTCTCGTATATTTAGGCTCTCTACCGTTGCATTCATAAGACATGAGTTCAAATTCTGGGTGGGAAAATCTATATTATCAAGAATGTCTGTTCTTCTGCTGAGATGGTGTGTCCCACTTTGTCTGCGTCAGCTCTGACAGGCAGGACTGAAGCAGCCCACCTCTAAAATAAACTTCTGCTTGTGTCGATTGGGTGACGTACCAATTTAAAACTAATCAGTCTATCATGAGTTTGAATCCTTAGAATTTCATCAAAGAGTGCCAGTCATTACATTACAAAATAAGTTAAACATGACACCAGCACTGATTGAATTGACTTGAATTAGCCCTGGTTTAATTGAGATTAGATGCAGAGTTCACAAAATGGTCTTATGTTTAGAGCTCATGGAAAATTCTTTCCAGGTCCTTTTCGAAATAAACTTTCCTTCATTTTTAGGTTCTAATTTACTAGTTTCCACCTCACATTCTCCTCCTGGACAAATTTCTCTTGTAATTTATTTATTCCTGTTATCTTGAGTATTTGCTTTTTCCTATTACATTCAACGATTTTCACTTATTTATATTTCAGAACCTCGGACAAGAGAAAAAGAACGTCAGAAAGAAGGAAAGCAGGCCGTTTTGGCATCATGATCGTTTTTTTAATCTACTTCTACACTTATTTTTCAGTTCTACTTTGTTATTATTATTATTCAGCTGATCATTAAGTGTTTTTTGCTTCAGTGTCAAATACAGATGAAAATTATTGTATAACTGTTTTAGTTTTAGCACAGTAGTCTCCGCCTAAACGCACGCCGTACAAAAGCATGCTCCGCTCAAACGCACATTTTCATCATCTGACAGATTTTTTAACTATATAATTTAGACGTACAAACGCACGGTCACTCCCTGTAAAGGCACACCCCGTTCCCCAAAACACACTGACAGGTAAAGCTTGACAAAGGGAAATGTTCGCTACAATCTGCACAGCTTGCATAAGACAAGCCTAGACTGGCCTTCACGCAGAACAAAGAGAGTGATGGACAGCGTTTTCAAACCCAACTTTCCACTGACACATAGGTCTAGGACTAGGACTGGTCAGTGAAATGTTGGGGGGCTGAAATGTTTTTGGATTGGTCTCTGGAAATGTATCTTTGAGAGAAGGTTTCTGACTGGTGTTTGAGTGACTGCATGTGATGTTTAGTTAGACCTAGGCCTGTGATGCACAACATGTGTGAATGCTGTAAAACACTAGATAGGCTTCTATAGGATTTTAAGATTAGTCAAGTAAGCCTAATCAACTGCGCTCGAAGAACTTATAACGTACTTGTTTAACGAATCACAAGAGAAATGTTTCTCTGAATGTAGAGTTTTATGATTCTGATGTCGTCCATAAATTTACGGTCAGGGGTGGTCGCTTGGAAAGCCACGTGGCTGCGCCGTTGTCTCTATGACTATATATCCTACAGTTTCCCCTTAGGCTATCAGTTCCTGCCGATTACATTGAGTCTGTTTTTCTGCCCCCCTCCCCCACCCACTCGTTCAACGCCTTTGTACTCTTAACCGCCATCAGGGAATCCTTCACAAAAGAGTCACGTGTCGTCACATTATCAACCAGTGACCCCCAATCTCCAAGGGAGGTCACTAGAATATCAAGGAATTGAGATGACTGCGTCCCTTCCTCCCTGTGGTTCATGTAAATGCACGCTCCGCATAAACACACACTTAGGAGCCCTCCCGAGCACCATGCGTTTAGGCGGAGACTACTGTAAGAGTTTTATGGTACTTGCAACATAATAAGGTCATATAAGTGCCAAAGAATAGATGTGTTACAAGAGAGTAACAAACATAAAAAGGAGGAGAGATTAGGACGATAGATGTTTGATAGAAAGGAGCAAACCACACCAGAGCACCAACCAACTACCCACTTTTGTATAACTGTTTAACTTTATTTGATTCACATCTAATTTCTGAGAAGCAGAAGCAGAGATGTTCAAGAAATTTAGTACATGAGCTTGAGAATGTCATCTTTAAGTAGTATTTTGTTCTTTATCATAGACCACCAGTATGCCCTATGGTTCTCTTTGAATTCTCAGAATTCATTAAACTGTCTTACTGTTCTAAATTTATATTTTTTTTAAAGTCAAACTTACTTCTATTGAAAGACTGATATGGGATGAATTGCGGCCTCAGAAAGTGTTAAAATTAAACTCAACTTGATACATGAAAATGATTTTGACCATATGGGAGCTACTGGTGCTCTTTATTTTTCCCAACTTGACATGTGCCTGATAATTATGGAACAGCACTCGGTGCTGAATGTCATTGCACTTTTTTTTTCACAAAAACTAGGGTCCTTGGACAGCAGATTTTATATTTAAAATATTTTCACTTTGATATTCAATTTTGTGTGGGGTTATTTTTGGGTTTGTTTGACAAAATAGTGAAAGAATGACATCTTGTTTACTCTTCTTTACATGATGATTCCTAGTTTGAACTTCTGTAAGGATTTTGTGGTCATGATATTTTTCACTCTGTGTACTTATGAACAGGCTGAATCTGCAATGTGTTTGTTAGTGTGGCATCTGCAACTTTTTTTGAGTGTGTGTGTTCAGATTGTCATTCACTTTCACATGGTATGCTGCAAGTTTGCTGAATAAATTATTTATGTCTCTGCTGCAACCTTTGTAAATTTGCATTTCAGATGAATGGACCTGGCTCATAATTATATAAGGGGGGTGCTTAATGTATCTGTTTTGGGTTATTTAGATGCAGCTTGAAAATTGTTTTCCATGAGATGCATTTTCATGAAGTTTGAGTATTTACAGATTTACTTATTATGAAAACGTGTTGATGTCAGATTTTATCTTCAGTGAACATGAATTTGATCAGAGTAAAGTGAACGGTTATTTCCTATTTTTCAACGGTTATTTCCTATTTTTCTGCCTTTATTTCAAAATGGCGGAGCAAATTTTCTAGTTGACTCTAAAAGTGGCTGAAAGCTAAGAGGCCTTACTTCTATGTTGTTCATTTGTCCATCAACAAACAATGTCTCCTTATGCTCGATGCACAGAATCCAGACTATCTCTGTCATTTCTGTCTTATCTTACTTTTCCCCACCATATAGTGACAACTATTGTGTCCTTGTTTTTCTTTTGAACTCAACTACTCAAAATCATGTTGTGTTAAGTCATCATATACAATACAGTTATGCCTGTTGCCATGGTTTGTTAGAAGAGTGGATGCATTGGTGAAAATGAGCATGTTTCAGAGAGTGTGTATGTATGCAGGTATGAGAGCATGTGTATAGAATTGATAAAACCTCTTTGTATCCATTTTTGTCAATGCATTTATGTAAAAGTTGTGTAGAGGGAAAAAAATGAAATAAATTTCATGGATAATTGTTTTTTGGACTGTGGCAATTTTTAGGTCAGCCAGAATAAAGTGCCTGTAATGGCAGTTTGATACAATTGGGACTGGTTTGACTTTGTTTTGTTTTTGTTTTGCTGCTTCCCAAAATATTAGCTAAAACACCCTGTGTGTAATTTTTAAAGTGTGCTCTCACTCTCAAGGGTTTTTTCAGTTACTGAACTATACTATTGTGTCAACTTTATGACTGATTTAAAAAATGTATTTATTACTAGCCAGTAGATCTATACGGAAATTTATACTGTGACCAGTATTCCTGTTTTGGAAAATAACTTTAAAATAAAATGTTGTTCTTGATGACTACAGTTATTAAGTTTTTATTGTATAACCAATTCAATAAGATCTCGTGATGGATAAATGACATTTTCATCACAAATATGTTTTTTGCTGTAAAAAATGCCACCATGTTAAGGTCCTAATAATCTTTAAAGACCCTGAAGAGGCAGGGTCTCATTGGTAACATTCTTTTTTATTTCAGTTCTGGTGCCCAATCAAACTTTGGCTCTGTGTAAGTTCATGGTATCTCTAAGATTGTATCTTTATAGTGGTTGCTTTACATGCAAGAACTAATACTAATATCTTTTGACTCTATACATTTGCAGAACTTTAAAATTGCCCAATGAGAAGTCAGATGCATTTTGTTTTATATGTGTCACGACGCAGTGGAATCAGGCGTTTGTCTATTTTTGGGCATATGGAGTTATTGATATCATCTTAACAGGTTGTTCATTTGCCTTGCTTTAGATGAAAAAATACTAATTTATTTTGAATAGAAGTCGCGATATTTACAATTGAAGGAGGTGGGGTCGTCTGGTTTCCGAGGTAAAATTATCGAGAAAATGGCCGCCAAAGTTTGGTAACTTGCATAGCTTAAGAGTCCTTGGAAACTGCAAATTTGAATTAGTTGTGCCTTTAATCAAAGTTTTTCCATAAATCCACACATATTTTATGTATTTTTGAATGGACATACAAGGTGTTGAGCCAAAAGAAGAAAAAAAAATTGTACAAAATTTTCTAACTGGCCGAAAAATTCCGATTTTGTCGGATATCATTATTTTGACAAGCGCCAGATTTCACCACGATGCCTCGCATACATGTATAAAAAACTAACATGGTAGACTCAATTGCATTGGAAGACATAGATTACACACATACAGTCAGACTAGCGCCAACAGCAGAGTTTAGCCAAATTCTGTTAAGTATGGATGTAGCCTATGTGTTTAAGTATTGCAGGGAAGTCTAATTTATATTGTTGGAGCAGATATGTGATTGTATTAGCTTTTACTTTTAAAAAAATATTGCGCATTCCACTTTATTGTTCACAACAATGTCCACCCAATCATAGAGTTTGATTTGTGTTGTGCGGTGGAATCGGGTGCTCGTCAATTTTTGGGCTTGTGGAGTTGTTGGTATCATCATGAAGTTTATTAATTCTTCTTGCTTTTGATGTGCAAAATACCCTCTAATCTTGAATAGAAGTTGAGATATTAGTGATTGATAAGGTGCAGTGGTCGCCAGGTTTCAGAGGTAAAATTTGGTGACTCCCATAGCTTGAGAGTCACTGGAAAGCGAAAATTTACATTTTTGTGTCTTTATTCAACTATAATTCTATTTTCAGCCTAATATCAAGCAGATATGTGATTTTGAATGGACATTAACCCTTCGAGCCCGAGAAACCCTCTGACCGCTCCGGAGCTTTATCGATGCATAGCCCGATAAACCATTTCACCGGTCAGGGAGTCACGGACCCAAGTGAGTCCGGGCCAGCCCTACTAGGCCTAAACATGTGTGCAAAAGACCATTCACTAGCTATAGATGTGAGATAGACAACCATGATTAGTTTTTGTGTGGATATTTTGTTATTGTGTTTGACGTATTTGTTGTTGGGTCTATTTGTTGTGACCCTTGTGAAATTTCTTTAAAATGGATGACGAGGCCAGGCAGGGGGTATGTATTCTTGGGTCAGCAGAGTCCGGGCTCAAAGGGTTAAATTGAAGGTGATGAGACAAAAAACAAAATTTTAATAAAATTGCTAAACTGGTGGGTAAATGCCAGTTTCTTCGATTTCATTATTTTGACGAGCGCCTGATTTCACCTCGATGCCTCACATTTATGTGGTCAATTTTCGTTTAGGGGGGGCGGCTATACCCCCAAAATCAAAATTCGGCTCAAAATCATGGAATTTGAGTTGTAGGCATTTTTAGCTTCCCCAGCCTCTCCTACAACTATTTCATGGCATAAGAACCCCAAAAAACCTTATTTTTTCCCATACCGGGCATGTTTGTAACCGCCATTTCCTCATAAAGTCAGTATTTTATTTTTCTTTATCGGCCGTTTTCTCAAAATGATACTTTTTTCTATACTATTTTGAATAACTCCACCATTTTTCATCCAATCTTCATGAAATTTTCACAGAATGAAGAGAAGAGGTAATACTAAAAGTTTGTTTGTTGAATTTTTGATATATGGAATAGATTTTTGTTGGTGGTGTCTGGAGTGTGGATTTTCACGGATTTTTCGCAAACTTGAATGCTACCTCAGGAAAAAATTCATTAAAATTTTTCTAATCCGATTAGGAAAACAACAACAGACAAATTTTTTGATATAATGTTTGTGAACATGCATGCAAAAAAAACAATCAATTTCCATGAGTGATAAGTGCGGTATTCATTACGTAAGACATGTCAATAAAATCCAATATGGCGGCGTATCCATGGAAACGAAACTTTTTTCTCAAATTTGATTGCGGATTTTAAGACTCCTTACTGTGCTTGTTATATGTGTGAAATGTGGTAAAATTCGGTCCAGTAATAAGCGAGATAGCCTCCAGGTGTAGTAGCCCCCCCCCCCCCCCCCCCCCCCCTTTAATTAATGCACTGCGAGAGTCTGCTTATAATGCATAATATGCATGGGAACAGGATAGTAGGCCGTGCCAACGGTACACCACGGCTCTCTGAGGGAACGGTCCCTTGTGACAGGGACACTACTCTTATTTACCGGAAGTGGAGATTGTTTATCTTTTATTTCAACTCCTCTCCAACATCTTGACACCGTCAATAGCTTCTAGATCTAGTTGACGAATTGAAAAGGGTCGACTGACGGCTCTCAACAGAGCTCTGTCAAAGCACTACCTTGGACTTAAATGAAATATGTCTGACAAGAATGACGACGATGCCCCACCGTCCTCCCCAACAGCTGGCTCTGCTTCCACAGAGAATGCAGGAACAGACGGTAAATCGCCAACTTCGGTTGACAGTCCGTCTGTATCACCAGCTCCCGGAGCGACTGCGAGTACCAGCTCGAAGCTGAAATCAAACAGCTTGAAAGGTGAGTAAATAAACATAATGATTGCCTAGACTGGTTTCTCTTATTAGATGGTATTGCTCTATACTGTTATTTGGGGGGGGGGGAGGGGGGGGGGTGTCAGCAGAGACAGCCTACCTCTCACTCTGGACCACATCATATTAACTCTTATCCTGCGTCTGTGCCCAGATGCATATCTTATCAGCAACCGATTACGTCGGACGTGCCGGGCAGGCCGCCGGGGTCACTCAGTGTGTACTGTTGGTGTACAGCGCGCGCGCCGGGAAACGTGTGTTTTCGCCATGAATACCGCGGGAGTGTGTTAACTGATGATGAAAATAACGCTCTATCCTTCATCATAACTATGAATCATAGCTTTCTATTTATAAAGTGTTACAAACACATGAATAACCCCCTCTCACAAGCTAATAAGACATTACGAGTAGTTACGCCCATTTGAATATTCCATTTGAATAACCTTTCTGGACGCTCTTGTTGTTATGACTGACCTGAGGTTCGAAAAGGGATAATTTATGTCAATTTCCTAATGTTTTACACTCAAATTGTTCTTTGTACCTGCACAAGGGTATTCAAAACTATCAAACAAGCTCATTTTTTATCAGGTAGTATCATTTCATACAAAATCAAGCTCATTTGAAATATTTTGTACAGAAAAAAAAGGAAGTCTTGTTTCCTGACTATCCTTTCGAGCTCCTCATGTCTAAGTGGGTCAATTTCTTCTATAATTTCATTGGACGAACATCTAGAGCTATCAACTTGGCATGTTTTGAATGAGACGTATGCCTCGATTACGAACCAACGCAGGTGGTTCTAGAAGAAGGCCACAAACGCACACAAACTCAAGCAGACTGACGCACACACACTTGACCTGCGTGAATGGGGATCCGACTCGGGACCCGAATGACACGTAAGAGGATGCGCGCGGCGCGTGCGCTGAGCCAGGAAGCTACACTGACTCGGGACCAGAACACAGGCGAGGTGCCGAAATAGGCTTATCGGGCTACATAAACCCGGCTCCCGCAGGATGAGGGTTATAGATCTAGACTCTAGATCTAGATCTAGATCTACTACCCGACTTAACTAGAATCTAAACGTAGAACGACGCAAACTATTTTTAGGTAAGGCGGCCATCTTTTGTGATGTCAGGCCGGGATACCCCTACAATCACGTGACTACTTGATCTAGCAATGCCAATCGGGCTTATCCTCGAGGCAAAAATTTGGTCCCCGTTTACGGGCGATTTTGCGGACCCGGCTGAAGCGTAGGTGACTAACTTTGTCAACCTCGGTCTGCTCTATTTCCGAACCAATCCGAATGAAACTCAGCAACCAATCAGAAAATAGGGCAAACTAATGATATGTGGACGTTGAAGTTTGTATACATAAATTAACCTATACTTTTGGTGTCGGGAACACTTTCGTATCGTGTACACCGAAAACTATAAGGAGTTTGAATTTCAACGCCGAGATTGTAATAGATCTATCTATCCTCTATAGTGTGCTCAAATTTGAACGTTCTGTGTCAAGTAGTTGTTTAGACCCGATCATAAATGCACGACTACCCCCCTATCCAAAGCGGCTTCGCACGGAGACCGGCCATTTTCCCCTCACTCTTGTGGCAAATGTATGTTACCTACAAATCCCCGCATGACTATTCCGGGCCCGTTTATTAGTCACTTGAAATAGGGCAATGGCGAGCGCGCGCATCCGGTTGCATACCTGCCAACCCTACAGAAAAAATCGGTAGATCACCGACTTTAGGGTCAAACTACCGATCCACCGATTTTGAGATGAAGCCACCGACTTCGGGATTCAGCAGGGTGACTGCCAGGCCCCGAGAATTTGAGAAAGTTATCAAATATTTGAAAACCAAATCCGATAACGCCCGAAAGTTCATTTTTGCCGGTCGCGATTGTGATTCATTCGGCTCCCTCGAGAGTATGTTTCTTCACGCAGACAGGCGGCTATGGTGGCAAGCGGGTGTGATACCGACGTTTGATCGGGATAATCAAGATATACTTTCACTTTCGTTACCACCCAGAAATTTGCTGGCAGTAGTTTGATAACGCAACATTAATTTAAACAACATGCAGACTGTGCATGGCAAACGCTGTGTCGCCTTGAAAATAAATCAATATTTGTGCTGTGCTGTCACTAGTGAAAAAAAAAAGAAAAGAAAAGAAAGTTATAGTTATACAAGCGTCTTGTCGGGTTCGCCATTGTGACCGGTCAATGAACTTGCGCGTTCCATCACATTGTGAGCACGGGCACTTGTAGGGGTCACCAAAGTTCATTCAAAGTCTGAGCGCTGCGTAGTATAGGACTCTGGAATGGGGGAGGATTATTTTTTTTTAAGATACAGTCGGGGGAGGGGGGGGAGGTGAAGGCAACACCAGGGGACAAAAACTGAACTTGGAAGCAAATTTTAGTATTCTAAATTTTTGATTGCCTCTAGATCTAGAAAACTCTCTGCAAAACGCGTGTTGGTGCAGGTCTTGTGTGGACTCGGGATCCGTCATACTCTTTCCTTGTAAACTCTGCAAAGACAAAAGGCCATGGCTAGGCCTAAGTCATCCAAGGCCCACTTTTTCTTCATCTTTTCTTCTTTGCGTCTGTTTTTGTTTTTTTGTTTGGGGGGGGGGGGGTTGTTTTTTGGTTTCATTTGTGTGTGTGTTCGTGCAGGTATGAATAGGACAGGAACTGCACCAACTACTAATAGGGTAAATGCCTCTGGTAGTTTTCATATTAGTCAATTTTTTTTCTTAGTCATTTTTTAATTTGTTTGAAGTCGCAAACACAATCATGCATATTTGATGTGGGTCAAAATAAAATATTAATAAGGGTCCCAAATTAAGTATGCGACAAGAGGTAATATAGCCTACTACAGATTTTTTAGGTCAACTACAGATTTTTGGACAAAAATTTGCGTCCAACTACAGATTTTGGCACAGGCAATGTTGGCAGGTATGCGGTTGTTTTTCTCTCTATTCCCCTGTAACATCGCTATGGGGGTATTCCGAGGCGAGGTTATCTCGTCTCGAGGTGTTCGCGTCTCAACGGGAAAAAAGAATTTTTAATTGTACGGCATGCTAGATTGGATTAACTTATCTTTTACGGTTGGCATGGTCTAAAGTCATCATAAAAAGCTTTGCAATTATTTAGTCACGCTGCCGACATATATTCTTAAAGATCCCATGTTGTGATACGATGCTGTAAATAAAATGGACTCATCCCGACACCCCTTTTTCGCAAAATCATAATATGTTCACCACAATTTTAATTATAACAAAATAACTACGAAATTTAGTAAATCTGACTGCAGAAATGATTTCTACACTCAAAAACACATCGGGTAGCCAAGTTTCTCTCGAACACTCCGATTATTTACCGAGATATCGTCGATTTTCTTACAGAATCTGCGACTGCGTGGTCCACTTTTTAGGAGTATTTTCTTATATATGTGGGTCATCCATATTTTGCCGACCTTTACAACCCCATAACTTTTTTATTTATGAACCGATTCTCAAAATTCAAGAACTATAATTATTAGAATTGAAAATTCTGTCTTAGGTACCCAAAAAAAAGGGGGCAAAAGTGAAAATTTAAATTTTCATTAGCATTGCTACTTGATCTAAACATAGCCAACCGCATGGCACCAAAGATCGTGTGTACCTACCATGGCACGATGTTTGGTGCGATGTAGACGTACTGGTAATGTGATATGATGCAGTGCTCCGAGGTAAGATTGAAGAATACCGGACCAGCGGACTGACTTTGCCTGTGTCTCAACCTTAGGAATTCATAATTTTCCCGTTTTTAATATCTCTCAATGGAGATTCTCGGACCGGTAGATCTATTCATTAAAATTTTGTCGGGGGGGAGGCCCCCCTGAACCCCCTCCTCCACCCCAACCACCCGCCCCACCTACCCCACTTTCTCGCGCAATAATGTACGAGTGGTCCGGTATTCTTCAATCTTCCCGTGCTCCGATGATGCTGCTGCTTATCTCTTCTGCGCATTGTTAATCGGGCTCGGAGGGGGGGTAATCTCCGGGTGTCTTTACAACAATTTTAGCTCGCACTTTATTGTCTATGCGTTTCTTCTTCTTCTTCTTCTTCTTCTTCTTCTTCTTCTTCTTCTTCTTCTTCTTCTATCCCGTGGTTGGGGCAACCGTTGGGGCACCACTGCATTGGAAAACCAGCTCTCGCCATCTATTTTTGTCCTCTGCTCTCCTCAGATTGACACCCATCGTCTTTCCTGTCCACTCTTTAATGTTGTCCTCCCATCTCCTTCTCTGCCTTCCTCTCTTTCTCTTTCCTTGTACGGTTCCTTGCAGGATTGTTTTAGCAAGTCCTGTGGATCTTGTGACATGCCCATACCAATTTAGTTTTCGTCTTTTCACTGTGGTCAGTAGATCTTCATGTTGTCCCACTGCGTTGGTGATTCTCTTTCGTACTTCGGCATTTACTGTGTTTCAATTTCAAGCATCAAGCATTTTTACTGTTTTGAGCATCAACGATCTAATCGATCTTCCTTCCTCTGAACATGACTGACGTGCTGCAGTTAGCCGCAAATGTGAAATTTTAGCGTGCAAAACGCATCGATACAGATAATCAGTCAAGCCACTGACCCAACATGTCATTCCGATTCCATGCGGTATCTCCAATCTCTAAAGATTGTGTAGTATGTAGTGTAGTAGAAAATCTTTGGCTTTGGTATTAAATCTCAGCGGTCTTTTAAAGATAGTTTGTGGGTATCCCAGGATGTGATGACATCACATTACTAAAATAAGCTGCCAATCAGGCAGGTGCGTCGTTCTACTTTTAGCCGCATGTCTCGGGACTAACCTAATCCTAATCCATGATGAGCAAGACTTGGACTTGGTTTAGAGTTTAGAAGGTCAAGGAAGTGAGTACTGGTGGGAATAATTTTTTTTTAAATTCCCACCCAGGTCAGGTCACTTCTCATCTTTCCTATCTATCTAGATCTAGATTCTAGTTTTAT